CTCTGTTTCCCGGGCAAGAAACAAAATTTCACAGCCACACATTATTCTCTTAAATTGGCCATCACAAAAAAACGTGGTTCAAGCGAAACTACGTTTACGAAAAAATTCACTATGACCAGATCCTTCTTAGGCGATGCCACCTGGGTGCACTGATTCTCACTTAACAGGAGGAGGGGTGGGGGTAGGGGGGTGTACTAGGAAAGCTCTGTCTAGCGGAGCTTTCCCTCTTTTTTGGTACCCCCTCCTAATGTACTAATATGCATTTCAGAGTTAGTGGAAGCTTAAAAGCATTCCAATAGACACTGAGATGTTTTGCCCCGCCTCCCACCCCCACCCCAATTGGATTTAAGAGGATTTGAGTTTCCTGACAAGGAAGGAATGCAGGTAAGTCTCAGTTGCCTAAGTATAGGTCAAAGCCTTTATCGATCTTCTATTACCGGTTCAAATGTAAGATTCGGATAACAATAAAAATATTTCTAGATGCAAATGGTCTCGGCTTCCTCCTGTGGAGTAGCTGTTGGATTCGTCCAGTCAATTCTGCATCGTAGCGATGCTACAGGGCCAAGTCAAACTGCTCCCTGGGTTTCTGACACTCAAACCTTACGGGAGTGGACAGGCTCATCTCTGCAGCAGAGTGGCCCTGGGCCTGCACTGCCGACCAACTCACCACTCATGACAACACCGGGGCTCCTTGATTTAGCTAATACGGTCATTTAATTTAATACAGATATTTATAGATCGGTCGCAACATGATGAGGGTTCATGTCCGACTCGGATTCACGTCAACTTAATTTGGAAGCCGGCTACAGGCCAACATATATGACTTTGTGTGAACATCAACAAAAGATAGAAAGCTGACTTTCCATGTGATACATGTGACAGACATGTATTGCCAAATCAAAGGCAGCTTTGGAGTTGGAATAATCCTTGGAATAATCAAAGGAGATAGAGTCCTTTCTCCAGTGGCTTTACACAGATCCTTTTGGCACACGTGAGCAAGCACCCTGGGGCGCAGTGGCTAAAGTGCTCAGCCATGTAAAGGTGGGCAGTTTGAATCCCCAGCTGCTCCACAGGAGGAAGACAAGGCTTCTAGAGCGATTGGCAGCCTCAGAGACCCTATGGGTGGTTCTACTCAAGTCTTGGAAGGGTGCTAACCGACAACTCAGCAGTGGGTTTGGGATTTCAGTTGTCTGATCTTGGGGGGCCCATGCACCTGTTCTTGCAGGTGCAGGAAAGTTACAGGTGGTGGGGCTCATCTGAAAGGCAGAGGCGGCGTCTACCTTTGCCTGCGAGCTCAGCCGGGCCACTTCCCCCTTCAAGCCTTCCGAGGTGACCCGCTCCTCCTCCAGCTGATGTTGGAGCTGCGCCTTCTCGTCCTGGAGAGCCTGGATTTCCCCCTTCAGAGACCCGATCTGCTTCTCATACTCTTGGGCTTTCACGTCAAAACTTTTCTCAAGAAGTCTAGGCAGCAAAGGAAGAAACGGATTAATTTGCCGGCGTCTCGCCCTTGAATTAGAACAATTCATCATCTTGAAAACAATGCGAGGAGCTGGGAAAGGAGAGGGCTTCATTGCGACCCGTGTGGCAGCCCCAGGACACAAGGTCCTATTTCTAGGTTCCTGTACCTTAAGGCAGCCTCTTCGGATCTGAGAAGATGGCGCCAGCAATGCTGATGCACAGGGAGTGCCGAGACATTGTGCTTAAAGACTCAGTGGGGGGGGGGGGCACCCCACAGGCCCCCTGGTTTCCTGCTGCCCACTGGACAGGCCACTAGCCTTGGCCGAATGCCGGCTCCTTCTCAGTCCCAAGGATCCTAAGGGGACCTGTTCTGTTCTAAGCAGATGAATCCAGCCACTGGAATACCCCAAGGCCCGGGCCTTCAAAGATTCTAAATTAAAAGCACCAAATGCAGGTGGTCCAAAGTCCGTGGACACCCAGTTCCTTGTGAGGAGTCCTCAACTGAATAGGACTTAGTGATGACGAAAAAAATAATCGAATAAAGATAACATGATCACGGCTAGTCCAGCACAGGCCAACGGGGGGCCAGTTGGAGTCAAAGCTGCCCTAGGGCCTCTATGCATGTCCTAGGCCATTATACGACGTTGCTGGGCTGGACCTTCAGCCCTCTCAGTTCTGTGACTCGCTTTGAGAGCACAAAGGGGCCCTTCCCATCCCCTGACAGTCACACTCCTAAGAGATTGTTTGAGCTCCTTTATGCACATTGACCACCCTTTTGTTTCCAGGGTCTTCAGAAACCATTGGTGCTCCTAAGAGGTTGATATAAGAATCTCTGAAGAAGCCAATTGTATGTAGCTAGGGAGTCTGACGTCAAAAGAACCTTAGCTTTGTACCCCACCCGAACAGGGGTGCATCCACAGACTGCAGGCATCTCTGTGCTTCTCCAGGGCTGTGCCAGGGCCCAGGGCTTGCCCGGTGCACCAGCAGGGAGCAGAGTGAGCCACAGGCGACTGCGGAGACGAAGCAGAACGAGAGCCTGGGAAGACCTCCGCGTGCCCCTTTGATCTGCCTGCCTGCAAGCCTGGAGCCGACCGACCGACCGTCAGGATGCCACGCTGCACGCATGACCTGGCCTCGGCCTGGTGCTCAAGTCCACTGCTTGAAACGACCACTCCCAAGTGGCCCTGGCCCACAGTGAGATGCCAAAAAAGCTTATCTCCTCTCTAAGAATTAAGAGTTCATTGAAAAAATGTATACTTTTTCTCCCCCAAGGAAAATGAGTTAAATACACGTATTTAAAAGCTGATGTAAGATCATAAAACATTTCGTGTATTTGTTATCTCTTGGGCCTCTTCAAGGACATGCCCTTGCCTAAGCCCTTTGGAATTCAGGCCTGCTGACCCACAGGGAAGCTGCCTTCCACCCAGCAGGCAGCATTCTGCCTTCCAGCTCCCCGCAGAGACTGGCCAAGCAGGTTCCTTCTCGCCCCAGCCCAGTGCCAGGCAGTCCTGACCTTCAGATCTGAAAAGCTTTGCATTGCCTCCTTAAGGGAAGAGGGCCCAGGCCTTTGGAAATTAGCCAAGGGGTTGATAAAGAGACAGGCAGAGCTGCTGTAGTACCAGGTCCTGGGGACCTGCCTTAATTGGCTGAGGTGCTGCCATGCACTTGAACTGCAGGGGACAGAGGGCACAATGAGCGGGAGAAGGGAGGGACGTTTATTTTCTACCGAGTCATCTTAACCTAAGTACCCTTGGTGGTTAAGCATTGGGCTGCTAGCTGCAAGGTCAGCAGTTCAAAAACACCAACTGCTCCTTGGGAGAAAGAAGGGGCTTTCTACTCCCATAAAAAGCTACCGTCTCGGAAACTCACAGGGCCAGATCTACCCTATCTTACAGGGTCGCTGTGAGTGGGCATCAACTCCATGGAAGTGAGCTTGAGTCTGGGATCTTAATCCTGATAGTCCAGTCTGGTAAGCACTGGGCTGCTCCCTGCAAGGTGGGTGGGTGAAAACCACCAGCCCTTCTGCAGGAGAAAGAGGAGGCTATCTGCTCTTGTAGAGGTTTACAGCCTCAGAAACCCTCTAGAATAGAGTTGTCACGAGTCAGAATTGATGGATGGCAGTGGTTTTAGCTGTAATGCAGAAATGCTGAAAGTAGAAAGGGTGGCAGCCTATGAACTTTGCATCCTTCTGGCAATGAAGGGAAGTGAGAAGTCCCAGGGGCTGGGGGAGTGTCCATGGTGCCCGTCCAGCAGAAGTCACCCGGGCAACTCCAGAAGCTGTGTTGTGTTCCAGAGGTGCGCACCATGGGGCTTAGCATCCACACGTCCTGAAGCCTCTCACCTCCGAAAAATAATCTCCACACCCTGCCCCCCTGCCTCTGGGGTCTGCTCAAAGCTAGCCGCTGGCGGACAGCTGTGGCGAAGCAGCCTAAGGAAAAGCAGTGGGGAGAGAGGGCAAGCGAGCTGTCATACACTCTCTGTCGTTCCTCCTTCTGCACGTCGTCAAAGAGCTGCCTGGTGAGCTTGTCCATTTTCTCTGTGAAAAGAGAAGGCTCGTTGAAACCGCTCTGCCAAACCAAGGGCTGGGGTGCTTTGTGTCAGGCTTTACAACGTGAGAACGTCAAATCAATCATGACATTGCTTATTAAAGAGACTGGGGGGAAGCGTGTGCACCCAAGAGGGACTATTCCATTGGGATGCCATACCTCGGAATCAACCTTATAGGCCTGTGTTTGTTTTTCCTGCCTTTCTTCGCTATTTTTTTT